ACAGACAGATAGATAGATAGATAGATAGATAGATAGATAGATAGACAGACAGACAGACAGACAGACAGACAGACAGACAGACAGACAGACAGACAGACAGACAGACAGATAGACAGATAGACAGATAGACAGATAGACAGATAGACAGATAGACAGATAGACAGATAGACAGATAGACAGATAGACAGATAGACAGATAGACAGATAGACAGATAGACAGATAGACAGATAGACAGATAGACAGATAGACAGATAGATAGATAGAAAGAAAACTTTATTTAAACACGAGGGGCGTGCGAAAAAGTATACAGAGAAGAATTTTAAAACTATTTGCAAAATTATATAAGATATCTAATACTTTATATGAACTAACAAACCAAAGTTATAATCCATATACAGATATATTATCACCACCTGTAATAACTTGTGCTATGAGAATTACAAAGAAATTTTATTTGGTGTATTTTCAGGTTTGGTCATTGCAATTATGAAGAAGTACACTGGATTGGACGCTATATTTAGAGCATTCCAACATCCCAAGGTAAAACAGGCTTTTCCTTTTTCTGCACGTAAATTATAAACGTTATATTGCTTAATTAACTCTGTACGTTCACGCATGGTAATGTCCTTTTTCTGTAATTACAGATGGACATTCCCAGAGCTCCCGGCCTCGGACTTGTCTTAGACCAGGTAAACATTTTCAGACTTTTTTGTAAAGTTTTACTTAACGACAATATGTAATAATTAATGTTTTATGATGTTCTCAGGTTCATTTTCGAAGTTATAACGAGAAATTCGGACGTGATGGTTTCCACGAACCGTTAGAATGGAGTGAATGTGAGGTACTGTAACTCTAATGAAGTGGTTTTATTGCCTTGTATTGTATTGTACTGTATTATTAGGAGGCGTGGTTTTGGTTAGAACTGACAAGTCTTTTTTTCCGTAAGCAATCGAAAGCGCCCTAGGCAATCGAAGACATCTTGCCTGCTTAGGAACAGGAACCGGATACAGAAAGTAGTAAGGCAAAATAAAAGATTATTTATTTCCGTTTTTGGTGGCCTAGTGGGGTTCTTGGTGGTCTAGTAGGGTTCTTGGTGGTCTAGTGGGGTTCTTGGTGGTCTAGTGGGGTTCTTGGTGTTTTAGCGGACTAGAAGATTGTCTGGCAGTACAGCTTCCAACCACTACGTACGTACAGTGGTATGCTCAGGTTCAAGGTTCGATTCCTGGTTCACAATGTGTGTAAACAAGTCAGGGTTGGAATAGGCCTAGTAAGGGTAAGGATTAGGGTCGGACTATGCGGGCAATGAGATGCTTTCGATTGCTGTGTACAGTATGTAGTACGATAATGCATTTTTGCTGCCTACCAGTCTGTGAACATATCAACTTAGCACAACAGTTACTGGCGATTTTGTACTTTTTGGACTTATCCATCAACATATATCAACTTCTCATGGCACTTGCGGAAGCCAATTGTCAGTAGGTTAGTGGGGTGGAATGGAAAAAGACGTGTGCTTTTTTATCTGTCGCATCAATTAAAACATAATTCCCTGCAACAATGTTCAAATATTTTGTCGCCATTGTTGTGTTCTTTCGTAGGATCAAATTAAGGAATTTAAGAAGGAATTCATCTATAGCCAAATTGTCAACACAGAAGCATCCACTAACTCGTATCCTTTAATGTTATTTATGAATTACTTACTTAGCCTCCTCCGCCGGGCATCTCTTAATCGTCGAGAACTTATATAATTTAGTTTTTCAAATAACTGATGTTTTTCTGATTGGGTTACTGTGTAAGTACCACGAGATGCCTGCGGAGGAGACTATTATTTACTGAGTTAATGATTCTTTTTGCAGTTTTATAGACGTTCAGTACAAATACATGTAATGCAGCTAGCTATCCCTTGCGCAGGTTACCTTAAGGCAAAACAGTTTAAGAGGAGATTTTTTTGTATGTTACGTAACACGCGCTCAAAACTAATGCGTATAATATATCACTTGAGGTTATGACTAAATTCAAAAATTTTATTTTTCGATACGTTTCTCACTCGGCAAACAAACTTACAAAGTATGTTTAGTGCTTTATCTGTAAAATAATGCTAAAATGAAGAGATTTTAGATGATACGCCAAAGAGAAAATGATGTCTGAAGTTCAGTAAGTTTTGCTTATATGGCTGCAAATATGGCGTCACTGCAAATATGGCGTCACACATTTAAAAAGGTAGCTAACTCTATAAACTAGAGGATAGAGCTAAAACAAAGTAATTTTGAGAGGAACGCCAAAAAGATTTTAGGTTTTGAACACTTTTCATTGCAAATACGTGACATTGAAAAAAAATGCCTCTTAAATAACTAAGATTTCCAGCAACAAAAGATGATCATTTGGTGGCAACCTAAATTAAATCGCCCCCCCCCCCACACACACACACACAATATTTCGCAAAGTGTCCGCCACTTTGCGAGGTAACCACCAAATCAAGTCGGTAAAAATATTCCTGCGTTTAGTGTAGTTTCTACATTCGTTTGCATGTTTTTTGCTTGTTTTCCTTGACATTTGATATCAGAATGATGCGATGGTTGACTTCGCTACCAACACATACATACAGCAATGAGGGCATGATGGATCTACAAAAGAACAGAGATATCAATAGAATTGGAGAAAATTCCGCTGAGACCAAGGAAACAGAAAAGCAGAAAGATGAAGAGATGTCATCCAACAACAGTGCCATGGTTTCTTCTGAGGCAGCGAGTGAGAAGGATTCTACAACAGAGCCCTCAAACGAAGAAAATTTATCAAGCTGCATTGTAGAGCCTTCTACTGAGACTGGGGTTCCCGGAGAGCAAACAGATCGAGAAATGTCATCCAACCACAATATGACGGTTACTTCTGAGGCAGCAGATCCATCAAACGAAGAAAGTTCGCGAAGCTGTATTCCTGCAGTGGTTACTACTGAGACAGTTTCATAATCAAGACTTCATCATGGTTGAATTAGCGAACAAGACAACGTACATATACGATCATCTTCACGTGATGTTATGGATGTTATGTCATCTGACAGTCCATGAAGCTATTGTGCAGATAGTGGTAGTAGACGACGGATGAAGAAAGCATGGACAAAATCAAATATCTGAAATAGTTGTCGTGAACTTTGGTTTTCGATTACACATGCAGAATTGCTGTAAATGTTGCTGTTGCTATAAAGGTTGCTGTTGTTATAAGGTTCGGCCGCACGAGGCGACAAGTCGCAGCCCGCAGGACTCACTGGTCGCAGGATCTTGTCGCCTGAGAAAGATCACCCGGAGCGAAATTTCCAGGCAATGGTCGCGGGGACATCTGGTCGCGCGTAGTGGCATTTTCAGGCGACAAGAAGTTCTGGTCGGTCAATTGACATTCTCTAATTGGTCGATTTTGATTTTGTCCAGGCGCCAAGTTTCGTGAGCTGACGAGCTTGCTCTCACGATGGGATGCAAGGAGGTTGCATGAAATCAAATCAATTTCTGTTCCCAAACAAAAATCTTCGTCCATGTCACACGATGAAATTTTTCACTGCGACGAATCCCTGCAACCAGTGCAGTCCCTACGACTTGCTTTCTCATGTGACCGAATCTTAATTAATTTTTTTCAAGTGGAGTAATTAGAGAAGCTAAAAGTAGACAACAACGAGAACAATGAAACACCGAATTTCGTATTTCGTGCACATGTATGATATATAGTGATGGGCGATACCGAGTACTCGGTATTCGATACCAGCGATACCACAAACAGCGGTATCGGTATCGATTACTGACGTGGTATCGTTCGATACTTGCACCTTTTTTTAAACTACTTGTTTAATTTCACTTCTTGGTTGAATAAGACTTAATGAACCACCAAAATAACTCTTAATAATTCAAATGTGGTGCGCCAAGTCATGTATAGAAAATATTTATTACGTTTCGGGCTTTTGGTTTACTTATAGCTTTATTTAGGTTACATACAGTAATGTAAAATTTTTTTTCCGCTGACAGGCAGGTATCGAAGTAGCCGATACTAGCAATTTAAGTACTTATTTCCGGTATCGAAAATGGAACTTTTGTGTTTATTTTGGTATCGAAATAGGTATCGGTATCGGCCGATACTGATCTTAAAAGTATCGGTATCGGTATCGAATTAAAAATCCTGGTATCGCCCATCACTAATGATATAATCATGATTACATGAAGTGTCGGCGTGAAGTATTGCTGGCGCATGTTGGTTCATGTTTACATTTTGTCAAAATATTTAATATTTTATTGATATTTTTTCTTTCTTTCGGGATGTCTTTTTAAGAAAATAGTGTTTTGTAAGGTGAGTTATAAAGTATATGTGATATTTATAGTTGTTTTGTGTAAGAATATCACGGAAGTTACCCAAACGTTTGAAAAAGATGTATGCTAAATGAACAGACTTTTTACACAGACTGCAAGTATTTTATAAACTCTTTAATAAAACACGCCCGTTAAATAATCGTAAAATTCTCTCTTCAGGACAAATTATGCCAGTAAATCCACGTGTACAATATCATAGAGTGAATGATAGTGATGGTTATGTTGATGCCCAGGTAAAAAAATACTTGTGTTAAAAACAGAATTTTGTTGAATTATACGAGGGGCAATTCACTCCAAAAATCCCGTACACTTCGTTAAAAAATCCGGAAAAAATCCAGAAAAAATCCATGAAATCCTCAAAATCCGTTGAATCCATCAAAATCCAAAAAATCCTTTAAAATCCACAGAAATCCTTCAAAAATCCACAGAAATCCTTCAAAATCCTTAAAAAATCCGCAAATCCACAAAAAATATATGAAGTACTTGTCTTTGCCACGTTCAAAATGGCGGACAGCGAAAGCTAAACGCTTACCGTGATCGCTGTCATTATATTTCGTAATTATTGGACCACTCTACATTTCCATTTATACGCTCGAGTATACGCTAAGTTTTTTAGCCTATTACTACTAAATATGTGTTCTTGTTACAATGACGTTATGTTGTAAAATATAATTACAAAACCAAAAGTTATTCACCATTGTCTTTTACTGCTTTTGAAAGAATAATGAACTTGTTTGAATTTTAAACAAAATGACTGCATGCCCAGCCTTCGTTAATAGTTTCAGAAGGCTGTGGTCCTAGTCCCAGTCCTCTGCTCGACCCTGACGTCCTGGCATAACGCTGACATCGTACAACTTAAGATTATTTGTTCAAAACGTTACCTAGCTGTATAACTCTATAATTAAAAAAAATCCAGAAAAAATCCGAACAAATCCGGAAAATCCAAACAAATCCGGAAAATCCAACAGATTTTCAAAAATCCAGAAAAAATCCAAACAAATCCGAACAAATCCGGAAAATCCAGCAAATTTTCTCTTCAAAAATCCGCTAAAAAATCCGGAAAAAATCCGCTAAATCCGCTAAAAAATCCGCGGATTTTTAAAAATCCGAAAATCCCGTACGCTTTTTTGGAGTGAAATGCCCCTCGGAATTATAGTCACTTGACTCACTTGTGTCATAGCTTGTGTCGAGAGTGTCAGATATTGAATAGCCAGGTGTTCTTCAATCTCGTACCCAGAGCAATGCCTGTGTGTGGGCTAGGATGGCATTGGCTCTGGGGAAATTGAATTTTTCCTGTGCTGTGATTGGTTTAACGTTTATCAATTGTGCATGCTGACAAAGAACCGGAACCCCTAAATGTAGGGGTTCCGGTTGTCAATTTCCCCAGAGCCCATGCCATCCTAGTCCGTGCACAGGTATTGCTCTGGGTACGAGATTGGGTGTTCTTATCAAGAGGAGGAGAAGCCTTTAATGAAGTGGCAGAATTATTTTTCATAGTTTTGTTATTCACTGAAATATATCCAGGCTAGAGTTCCCTATGTAAACCAGCACCTGACAGTCCACACTGGAAAGGGTCTGGAAAGTAGGCCACTTTAGCCTGAAATCTCTTGCGGCAGGCTAGCTATATATTTTGTAATACTAATTAATTACTGATAAACTTTGGTTATTGCGGCAGTTCTCCTGTGGCAGTTTTTTGGTGCTTTTGGTTCCAGCATAGACAATGGGCTATTAGCCGTTCCGAAGTTGATGTGTGGACTGGGGACGAGTGTTAAAAAGTGCCCAAATTAGGAAATGAACAAAACCACTAAAAAGACTACCTCAAAATTAGCAAGTATACAAAGTTTGAAGATGTTTATATGAATACCCTTCGAATAATAAGCTTTCGAAAATTGTGATATTTACTATGAAATATATTGTAATTTTTGTTTTGGGGGAAGCATTCTTTTAATCAGTAATTCCACAATTTTCGAAAGCTTATTATTTGAAGGGTATTCATCTAAACGTCTTCAAACTTTGTATACTTACTAATTTTGAGGTGGTCTTTTTAGTGATTTGGTTCATTTCTTTTTAACACTTGTCCCCAGTCCTCTCATCAACTTCGGAATGGCTAATTGCATTTAAAAAATGTAACCCCCTATCGAGGATAAGGGTTTTACTATATCTTTGAAGAGATCTGCTGAAGCATTCCTGTTGTAAAAACGTTACCCTGAAGAATGTTGTTTAATTTCTAGTTCCGTAAGCCACCACCAAAAGTACCTGTTAAAGCAATCTGTTTGGCCAGCGGTCTTTTCTTTGTTGGAACAGTCTTGCTAGTTATTGGATCTTTGCTTTTCTCTGGCTATTTTGACGTTAAGGTTTGTGCAACTGTGTATATGTTATTAAACAAAGATTCAAGTTATTAGCTTAATTGTTCAACAGGTTGATTTTCAAGTATCCAACCTTTAAATCATATAACCACTGTAACTGGCTTTATTTGTACATCTTTGATCAGTTTCATAATTCAGTAAAGATTTGGGCTATTAAGGTGAAATATCAGGCATTCAGGTTTTCCTGGAAAATGTCAGGCATTCACTAGGTAATTAATGAATGCAAGTGAGGATCAAGCGAGTTACCCAAATGCCTGACATTTTCTGGGTATCAAGCCACTAGTTGACTAAAATCATAAATATTAAATTCCTCTGTGGAGGAGAGATATGACTTGCTGTACTTCTACATTTACAACTGATAGAGCTATCTGGTATAAATGAAGGTAGATTTAGTTTAAAGCTTTTTTACCCATTTTTCTCTATAGTATGGTGATAGAACATATCCAATGCTTATTCTTGGTTCACTTATGTTTATCCCTGGGTTCTATCATGTGAGGATTGCTTACTATGCTTGGAAAGGTTACAGAGGCTACTCGTTTGAAGACATTCCTGATTTTGACTGAGACACAAATTTGTACAGAAGTTCTCAATGCCAGGTACTCGTCAAAACTTGAAACTCAAGATTTGAAACAAACAACTGAAGACAAATGTTGACTTTCAAGATGAAACTTCTATTTTGACAGAAACTGTACCCAGTGTGGAAAGTTTGTATCGCGCGGGGGATATCTCCCTCACGCAATTTCCAAACTTTCCAGTTAGGTACTGCACTTTATAAATATATTATATTAACCCATTAATGTGCAAGACTCTACCCTTGATGAGTAAAATCATCTAGCATTAGGGTAAAATAATAAAGTAAGGTGCATTGGGTACATTACAGCTTAATGGGTTAATCAACAGATTTCCTTGAAAGAGCTGGAGATATTAGATGAAGATAGTGATTGACCAGTTATTTATCATTGTTTCAGCTTACTCAGGTTGTGTTGGGCGTCATGATCTGAGGCAAATTAATAACTGTAAATAACTGTACTCATTCCATACTGTATACACTGGATATTTAACAATGAGGTCCATTTTAACACAATGGATAATAGTGAGTTAGTGACTGTCTTCATCAGCTCTGACAGTTCAATAAAGAAAATATTTCAAATCCTCAGTATAGACAACTAGTGTATTGTATATGCCTTTAGGCAGACTTCCTGATCACCAGTACAATGATTAATGGGTATATGATTGCAAAGTTTGCCTATAACAAGTATACATTATGGATCTGGTCTACTTAACAAATACAGGGTTTTTTTCAGGATTTTCTCTTGGGTCCGTTTTTGCAGAGAAGATTGAGTTTAGCTGAACAGCTGGGGTGGCTGCACCCCCCTCTACCGGGGGGGCTGACACCTGTACATACTCAATAAATGTAGTTGAGACGGAATGTGTTAAAGCAGGGGCACTAAGGGACACTATAAACTGAGTGGTTAAAGATGGCGAATGCATGGTTTTTCTTGTGTTGTAAGATGAATTCCAGCCATTTTGTCTTAATTGTCAGGCTTCCAACTGAAAACTAATTTCCACACGTCACGAAATTTAACTCAAACAACTTCATTTTTACTGCACTGAAACTTTGGTGAGAAGATTGAGTTTCAAAACTCAATTCAAGATTGAGTTTTTTGGGCCCTAAAAAATCCCTGAAAAAAACCCTGAAATAGGTAAGATTTTGCTGCTCTCTGTTCAGTTGTAGATACACAGTATGATGTCATGATGTGGGAAGAACAAGAAAGTGGCTCACAAGCCGCCGAGGCGAGTGGGTCACTTTTTTATTTTTCCCACATTATGACGTCATACTGTGTATCTATATTAACTGAACAGACAACGGCAAAATCTTATCTATTTGTTTCATGTAATAAAAAGAAAAAAACCCGAATTAAACAGGTAAATTACGTAAATAGCTTACTTTGTATCCACCCAAACATTTGAAAATTTTGAAAAAGTCGAATTTTACAAATATCATGCGTACATGATCTATACAAATAAGGGAATGCTATTGGATAAGGTTTTGTGTGACGTAATTCTGTGCGTCTGTCCTCTAATAGATCATGGCTCTCGACCAATGAAAGCGCTTGAATTCTTAACATTATAACGTTATTATATAATTACGTTTTGTTTTTATACTGTAATGGCAGGAGGGTAATTTCATTGAATGTATTTTCACACTAACTATTTTACACTAACTAACCGTAAAAGTAAAATAGGGTATGTGTACTCACTGTTTCTATAAATTTGAGCAGATATCTTTTACATACAGTATGTAGGATGCCATGTGGCATCAATTAATTTTATTTACAATATATGTTCCTGTTCAACACTCCAAGATGCGCATGAACTGTCTCCCTGATCATTTTCTCCCGTTCTGTACTTTAATTTTCTTAGAAATTATGAATTATTTTGAACAACTAAAACTGCACTGCACTCCTTTATAACATACTTTGTTTCCAAAGAGCTTTAGAAAATGAAAGTACTAAATTGTTTGTTTTTTAAACTATGCCAGATGGATCGAAAAAGAACCTAGAACCGGAGAAAACTTTCTGAGTAGTGGAATTTCTGTTTACTCACACTAAATAAATATATGAGGTATGAAGGTCTTATCATGGTGATTGTCATGGTGATTGTCAGCTACCAGTATTATATATTTTGTAGGATGTCCGTTCTAAGTTGCTGTTTCATCGTTTGGCAGTTGTCAGTTAGATATTTATCTGTTGCCAGGCAAAAATAGAGGCAAATATGGGTAGTCGATTAACCCATTAAGACCTTCATCACCTTATGCATCAGTTACTTAGGAAATCTATTCGTGCGCGCGCTTCTTTTCCCGTACGTACGTCCATGCCGCTGACCTTAATTTCCGTATCCCAAAAAGTCATAGTCGCCTGCAGTTCACGTGGTTTTGTTTGATCAGCAGCATCTAATTCCGGCAACTCAATCCTGAGTTCTCCACATTTTCGAACATTCAAGTCAGTGATATACTCGACCTCTTTTTCTTCTGTACAGTACAAACTGAGGGTAGTATAGTTCAAACCTTTCTTAGCTGGGGCATAACTCCGTGTAACCCTATCCCCCAGGGTGATAGGCTGGTCCGCTGTCACAAACTTATCAAATATATCCGTACACCACATCACTCCGTTTTTACGCACGATTTTTTCCCGGGGATGTTTACTCGGAATATACTTGTTGAGCACGCCGACACCATAGGTCAGCGTCGAACGTCGGACTCGAATCACAGTCGGGTCCAGGCCAAATAACACCGCGCCTTTGAGAATGGTGAGTCCGACATCGTTCGGTATTATGACGCGCAGTTTCGAGGAGAATGCATCACGGATAGCATGTTGAAGTAACGGAGATTCTGCAAAGCCACCGACAAGGAATAGAAACTTCACCTCGTTTACATTGGGACTGTTTAGTAAGTCTCGAACGTGTTTCACAATGTTTTGCAGAACAGGATTAAACAGTTCGTTCATGACTTGTGGTGCCAAGCGTAACATTCCCTGAGACGACCACTTGAGGTTTGGGTCGCCATATTTCTTCACGGCAGATTCAATGCTCGATGTTTTGTGATGTTTCTTGTAGTAGTCGATGAATGAGAACGGCAACGCGAGGTTCAGCCAGTTGTTTTTATTCGGACTGCTGTTGCGTTTCTTTGCTTCAAACGCAATCATGACATCCACCCAGCCAGCAGGCCGTTTCGTCTTGAATTGATCGATAAAATCTTTTCCGAATATCTTCTTTAGTAAGATCTCGAATTGAGCATCTACACCTATAAATAAGTTCAGTTATATGGTCATTAAGGTGTACCAACTGACCTCAAAGCTAACTACAGACACTGGAGCAAAAATGGACAGCCCTTGATAGGGTTATCCTTCAAAATACAGTTAGTCAAGTTTCTTTTTGTGGTAACATTGGACCCATAAGAGATATAAGAAATAGTCCTGGCTGGGCCTGTTTGGTGAGCAGTTAGCCAAATAGTATAAATCAGCCTAGACTTAGGCCCTTCACTAGGCTGGTTTTGGTAGGTTTGGTCAATTTTAGGCTAGAATTCGGTATATATGACATCACATGCGAAATGAAACTTGCAAACCTGTCAAAGCAACCGAGTAAAGGGCCTTGTCTAGGTTGAGTACAACCTCGTACCCAGGACTTCTGCGCCTTCTAAGAGCCGCAGAAGCCCTGGGTAGGAGGTTGGGTTGAGTATAAATAAATTGGTTAGATTCCTGGATTAACAAGAGATGCCCTGGATTAACAAGAGATCCCATTGACTTCTGTGCCGAACGTACCTGTCTTTACCGTTGGTTGAATCAACTAACTTATGCTGGAGGGGCCACGTCCAGTCTTACTTACTACAGGGAGAAACCTAACCTACCAGTATGCTTACTCGATCAGTTTTAAACTAAATCCATCTATACATACTGACGATGCTGTATAATAATTCCTTACCAGTTGCACCACAAGGTCCACCAGTTCCTTTATGAAGTTCTTTCAACACTCCTGTATCATTATCTAGTTCATGAACTGTCAGATCTACTGTGCCTCCTCCACAATCTACAACCATGTATTTTGTTTTGCCTGCAAGAAAGAACAACAACTGGAGCAAACTTTACGCCAGATCATCGTTGCGCTGAATGAAGTCCGGATGGCAAATATAATTCTTCAGCTTACTTCAAACAAATTCCACTATCCCTCCCTTAACAGGTCAATCTAAATTTTTGCGCACATTTCGATATTCAAGTGTTGCTACCTTCAAACTCGCTCCCAATCTGCCAGTCCATCATCGCGCCAACCACGGATTTCCTCTTCACTTCGTCAAGCACACAGTCTCGCATACGTAACTTCCGGCAGAATATCGACGCAGCTTCCGGTTCTAAAGCGATGATCACCCGTTCCGGATTCTCGTAGTCGGTAAGACCAGCCTATACAATGTATAATAAAAGGGGTGTGTTGTCTGGAAAATACAGTCTTTTCCATCAATCGTTGTGCAGTCGATCATTGCCTAGTTAAAACTTTGAGCTCCATCAGTAAGAGGTTGAAATTAAAGTTTCAATTTGACCACGCTAAGAATGAGCTGCCTAGGCGCAATGGACCTCGAGGGAAAACAGTTAGAGCTGATACAGCTATCCAGTATAATTAAGTTAGTTTAGTTTGGATTTTCTTCTGTACTCTGCAGTAACAGTGGGTTTAATATAAGTGACAAGAGATGTTTCTGGACCTCTAAGGAGAACAGTTTAGAACTGATAGAGCTATCCAGTGTAAAGATAGTTTATAGTTTACATTATTGGACAGATACACTTTCAAACTTACATCATAAGCAGCCTTTCTCATAAACTGTTTAGCTCCGGCTTTCCAAATAGCAGGGACTGTAATCACCCAACAAATATCATTATCAACCAACTTTGTGGACATTTGATCAGATAATTCTTCTACAACATGTTCCTTAAAGAACCGCAGTGAATAACTAAATACATCGATGGCTTTCATAGATTTACCATTGGCTGCTTTGATTTCTGTTTCCTCGCTTAGACACTGCAAAGAAAAAAAAATCGTTCTTTTTTATGGAAAATTCCACGCTTTTTGGCAAAGCTTTCGATCCGAAGCCTGGATCTTGAAAATCTCCTACCCAGACCCATCAGGGTACGAGATTGGCACCTTATGCAAGACTGGGGCTTTACGGATTATAAAAGTCACATAAGTCAACTACACTGTAAGGTCAAGAAGAACTTTGAAAATTAGAAATTTAACAATACTCATAGATAAGGATTCAAGGATTAAGATTTGGACTTGGACTAGTACAGTGTGACTTTAAAATGTTATATGTGGAAGGGTTTTGATAGATAAGAAAAAATTAAAATTGTTAATGAATTTTCTGACATGGCTCCTTGACCTTGGAAAGGCTTTTTTTATGAAATACTAAAACTGTCTGTAGTATTTCAGGGCCTTCACTCAAACATGCACTCACTATATACACTATATACACTTTTGACTATATACTGATAATATGCGTATATTGTGTATATATACACTGTAAAAACTGATTTTTTTGTCATTTCGACCAATTTAATGTCACAACCTATACACTGCATTAAAATGAAGAAAAATTGTGAGTCTTACATCACTGAACATGTAAACATGGAATTTAATAAAAAATATATCAATACAATATAATAAGACAATTAAATAAACTAGAGCTACCGGTACCTTAGAACTATGTGAGAGCAATTGCAAAGGAATACAATTACAATTGCTGTGTTGAGTGGTTATATTACTACCTGAAAAAAAACAAGCAGAAAGTCAACATTTCGAGCGAAGGGTCTTTGCTCAAAACGTTCAGTTTCTGGTGTTTTTTTTTTCAGGTAGTAATATAACCACTCAGCACAGCAATTTCACATTGGTACTACCCACACTGGTAACGGTACAGACAGTTATAATAACTTATATAAATTGGTCGAAAGATGACCAATTTTTTCGACCAATTTGTAATAGTCAAAGGAACCAAATTTAATTGGTCAAATGCGACTAACTAATTAAACAATTGGTCAAAATGACCAATTGCCAATGGTTGCAACCTAAAAAATTGGTCATTTTAACCAATCAGTTTTTACAGTGTATACACTATATACACAGTATACACTATATTTTTCAGGTAGTTGCATCCTACCAACGAAAGCTTGTTCATTTGATTGGCACTACCTACACTGGCAAAGACAGTTCAAGATATTTAATGAAAGGACACTTTCTTTTAATTTTAATAAAGCTTGATTGATTGAAATATTATTAGAGATTATAAAACGTTGCCGCGTTTGAAATGACGAAGCTCTTTCCCAACAGTTGGAAATCAATGATCGGAATTTCATGACTCGGTGATTTCTTTTGACTTCAGGATGTCACAATATGTAAAGCATTCTTTGTCTGGAAACACGTCCTCAGTAAATCGCAGGAAACACAAAGGAAAACAGTTTTAAAACGTTCAAAACAATTACACTTTACAAATCTTGATTATTTGCTTCTTGGGAACAGAATTCTCGGTCCCAGATGTAACTTTCAGTTTCATTTACAAGACCAAAACTACCTGGAACGTGATTTTAATCCTCTAAATCTCATTTCAAATCTTTACTGACTCTAACCCTTAATACAAACCTTGTCCTAATCCTACCCTTGATCCAGAAACTCATCCCAAATATAATCCTATATTTCAAACCTATAAACTTAATCGCCGAGATCCCAACAAATCACTCCCAGTGTAAAGTTAGGTTAACTATTAAAAACCTTCTCTACTAGCCCTACTACTAGCTCTATATCTGTTTATTGTTAACACCCTTTTGAACTGTATGTCATACTTTGTGTATGATCATATATTATATGATAATCATGCTCTCACCTCATCACTATACAATTTCATCTTAAACTTCTCGAAATACATGTACTTCTTGGCTTCAGATGGCTCGAGATCGTGGTAAAAATCTCTTGCACCGAAACCAAACGAATGAAAGCGTTTATCTGGTGTGAGTAGCAGTGTTGTGGGTGTCTTGGTGTTGCTCACTCCAGGGTCACCCCCTTCCCATCGTCTCATCATGTGAATACTCTCTGGATCGCGGGTAAAAGCGAAGGCGTACCCACTGTAGGTTGTACCAAAATCAATCGCAGCCACTACCAGATACTTGGATAATGGTATCGTATCGCGTGATGGTAAACCTGAATCATAAGAACCTGGTATTGAGTCACGATCTACAGACGATGTCGCCGACATATCACTGTTGCTCGAACCTTTACGAGTCAAGCTTCTTCGATAATCAATATTCACTTCCTTATGGCTCGATTCTTCGCCATCTGTCGAGTTGTCTAAAACGGAGTCGTGACTTTCCGAAAATGTTCGTGTCTCAGCGAATTCGGTATTCATTGCAGCTTGAACAGGAATTTCGTGGTTGTTTGTAAAGGGATCGTGTTTCCCATTTACATGTTGTGAATCATGGCTGTTCCAATTGACTGCTTCTGATAGTTGGAGCTCAGCAGGAGACTCTCTATCTTCGGGTGTCTTGTTGGAAATCGACGAGCTTGCTTGTGGCATTGCTTCCATTGTTGGGGTCTGTTGCTCCTCATCGCTCACCACGTCTGCCGTGTCCTGTTCGTCGCTTTCGTGCATTTCCTCATCATGCAAGGATTCCTCTATAAAGCAGGCTTCGATGGGTGCCTCGTTTTCACTTGAACTCTCGCTTGAAACCGATCGGGCTGGATAAATTACCTAAGAATTGAATGAAACTGATATTTAGTTTTTCCCTTTTCAAAAATTTCACATCTCACGGACAATATCCTTCCACCCCTAAATGAGAAAGGCGGAGTATACCTGGTCGTGAGAAGCTGAATTTGTTAAAAACAACATGGGTCCTGACAAAGCAGTAAAATACTACATTTAAAGAACAAATTGAAAACATGAAATACTGCATGGTAAAGAACAAATTGAAAACTGTAATAAAAACTTGTACAGTTTTGCGTGCATGCTCATGGCTTGGTCAACTTGCAGAGATGCTGGTGAACCCTCAGTTATGAGAGTGAGAAAATGATTAATTTCTTTTTCATTATAATGTTGTATTTACTGACCTATTATAATTAAAATAGTGACGTTAAGTGCTTTCGCTTCCAAACATACTTAATGTTTGCACATAAACCTTGTTCATAGATTTAGATCAGAACACATAATCACTATAATCTAAAATTAATGTGGACAAAGGTTTATAAGAAATCGTGACTAGTCGCGATTGGTTCGTGACCATTCTGACTAATCCACGCACGCTATCTGTACGCATGATTGCCGATTTCGAACGCTATCAATAATATGAAACAATTTGAAAAGTCAGACTGATTTGACCCTTTGGCTTTAGATCCGACTAATTTTCATGTGATACCATAGATTTTTTCCTGCTATGAAAAATTTTCCTTGAAACTATTAATTTCATTAATATAGTTATAACACTATCAGAATTTTGTCAAGGATTTTCGTGTAGGCAGCGTTGAACGATAGTGATAAAGGAACTGGTTAAATGTAACTCCGTTGTACATTATCGAAGTTTCTAGCGTTTCGAATGGGTCTTTGTCTCGAAGTTAGGTCCTTCAACCAACTTCTTGAATACCATTGCCATTGTGTTGATGGTGATTTAGGAATTTGACTTACCACATTGGAATGCTCCGGGCTAGTTTGTGAAACTAACTGTGATATTGAAACATTCGTCTTAGCGTTCGGTTCTTCGTCCATGGTGATGAGAGATGGCACGTCAGTAAAGCTGATATCAGAATTATTGTCTTCCTCGAGATCACTGATTGAGTACAGCGAGGAATCTCCGTCTAGTTCATCTTTTGGCAATGTCAACTTCTCATCATGCTTTGTCCCTTCTGATCTCTTGTGCCCTTTTAAAGCGTCTTCCTCCTCCGAGGAAATCGAAAGTGCTTCTTCTTGCGAAAACGTCTCACCCTCTGACGAATGACTTGTCGATAATTTGGTCTCTCCTTCGTCTAGCTCCATATTTCACTTAATTTTCACACGCATAAAACAACGCGAAAATATTTTATTGTTTATTAATCACGACAGCCGATTGTCATAGTTAATCACTGTTAATCTTGTCCCCGAATGGCTTGTGTGTTAAGTTAGCAAACAACGATATAATAGATTATCTCTTAGGCCTTTTCAGATGTCGTTAGTGCATGTGTGAACCTGTATGTTTAATGTTGCTGAAATATTCACCACAAGCGTTTGCTAGTTGGGTATCCCGCAGTGTAAATTTGCCAACTGATTAATTTGAGTATGATTTATAGTCATTCAATACCGTTACCACTGTATATATAAAATAATTCTTATATATTGGAAGTTTGTTGCTATACTTTAATATTCCAATTGAGAAGTTATTTTTATTTATATCTGTTTTATTTAGCGAAGTCTACAGTTCTGTGAATGAAGTTTAAGACTTTCCGACAAGCGCTCCGCTCACAGCATGTTTTCGTGTTTCTGACTAAAGTGACTGTTATTATGCATATTTTTATAGTTAAATGCATTTATTGTATTGTATTGCATTTTAATTAATTCATTTTCAAACTTGACCTAGTCCTAGTGATTATTTTCAAACTGATCAAGGCCAAGGGCAAATTATCATGGAATGGAGCTCATAATTTTAGGCCCAGGAAACTTTTGGTCGGTCGAGATCAGTCCATGGTGGTATAAGATGAAAGTATGTTTGAAAAGTTTTCTGGTAGTTATGTAATTTCGTCTTGATTTGTTTCTTTGTTTCCGTCACGCCATTCCACCTTCCTAAACATATCCATTACTAACCATCCACTTGCGTGAAATGTCAATCTAAGATCTGCAACTCAACAAATTGTTCATACGTTCAGTGAAATACTCATACTCCGAATGAACTGGAAGTATGTGACACAGTTGTTAATGCATGACACAATGGTGGTTTTCACCAATATGACTATGCAGGGTTTGATGCTAACAATATGCAGTTCTCTTTTATAATTTCGCCTCAGTCGCGTTTCAGAAGAGTCTCGTGTTTTCGCTCTTGTAACAGTATACTGGACCTATAAGGATTGCCCTTACTGGACCTCTAAAGAGAACACTAGTTTAGAAAAAAGAGAACACTTATTTGAGCTTTCCAGCTTAAATAAGGTTAGTTTATCAGTTTTGGTTTGTGGAAACACCCCATAAGCCAAAATTGATATTATTATTCGTCATGCAAAACTACAAGGAAATCATTTTTTTTGTTAAGTTTAGTTTTGACAAGACCTTTTGTGCGAGTAAAATGACGTCAAACCCACATTTATATGGCAACCACATCTATATGCTAATAACATCATGCTACCAGTGAACCAATGAATGAACAGAATCAACACAAAGTAGTGTACACACGCAAAATAGTTGATCTTAGACCGCGACTGCACGGTCCCAAATTGGAATTACCTTAATTAATGTTTGCGTAACCGTTGGCGTCAGTGTAATTAGCAAATACCAAATTATCCAGTCAAACTTAGTGTAACCTTGGTTCGTTCGTTAAACTACTTTTTATACTGTACACCAAGAAGGAGACAGATACACAGGAATGATTGTTCGTATATACCGGTGATAAACGACTATGGGTTTGATATGATGAAGACGTCTTGGACTATAGGTAAAGATCATCATTGATAAAGACCGTAATTCTTCTGGATGAATGAACTCCGATAGTCTGACAGCATTACCACTCGTTGGAAGAACATTCACTGGTAAAAGTTTATTTTTCTTAAGCCCGATAACTTCACCTGCACACGTATGTTGTGAACACAACTTGTCAACAAGATGTGTTCACAACAGGCTTGTAGCAAGCTTGTCAACAAGTTGTAACAATGCTGCTATTTTATCAAGTTGCAACAAGGTTGTCACACACAACTTGCTCACAAATTGTTGAATAGCAGGACGACAACAAGTTGTTGGAACAACTTGTAACAAGTCTGTTGAACTCAGCAACCTTGTAGCAAGTTATCACTGACAATAAAGCTGGGAACAAGCTATAGAGGTGTGCGAACACATCCTGATAACACGTTGGAACAGTATTGCTACAAGCCTTCTGTCTGCTGCAGGTTTGTAACAGCTTGTGCGTTTTTTTCGTGTGCACTCACAAACGGTTGCTTAATAAATTAATGTGCGTTAAGAAGGAGAGAGAGGGTTGTGATGGGTGAGATTGAAAAGCCAAAATGTTGACCAATTCCCAATCACTAAGCAAAATCACTGCTGGTCCAAATCATTCCATTCATAGTGGTTGAATCCCATTTTCACAATGAAAAAATAAGCATGCAATCCTAACTCCCATTTCACCCCCTTACCAACCTCCAATTAAAGATACACATCAGTTTTCAAGCATCATTGTGCAATTATATAGCAATATAGGACCCTAAGGAACAAATCTAGTGATATTCAATACGAGTGAATACCCGAACAAAAGTGTTACTGAAAATGTTACATACACGTTTAAGAGGTTAAGTTCGATAAGTTCATCGTCAATGTAATAAATCGCATGACATTGATACCTAGATTATATTTACTTCAAGAAATTGAAGTTATAATTTTGGAAGAATATTATCATATTTAATCCTTGGGAAAACATTTTGCGAAATTTGAAACTAAAGATCCGTGAGCTTTCCAGTTAAAGCTAGATTTGCATTTCATTTGGTATTTTAATATATGTATGGAAGTGAAGTTACATTTTTACTTTTAAAAAAGTAAAAATGTAACTTCACTTCCATATATACTTCATACATACTCAGTAGTCTTCCATAGGAAGAATATGCAAGTATAGACAAGTCATTGATATTAAACAATACAAGCATTGACATTATAAAACTGTAAGAAAAGGTTCTAACATCAAGTAAGTTGCAAAGTGGAGGAGCTAGCCACAATCTTGGATTTTACCTTTTCCATTAGACAAAATTCGTCTTTCCCTTATGGCAATAAGTTTCCTGTTAGGCTGGTACAATATGTTGCGCGTTTTAAAACTCCCATCCCCCCCCCCCCCCC